TCCCATAACACCCTTTGTGTAAAAAAAAAAAAAAAAACAAGTCAAAGATTTCTATGTATCAGATACTGTGTGTTTGGGGGCATTTATCGTCCAGGAGAATATTCCAGTGCTGTCAGAAGCATCATGTTTAGTGTAGGAGCAGAATGGGTAACAACTTTATGTTGAAATTTTTCTTTCCTTCTTTCATGACAAATTTAATCTAGTTGCTTTACTGAATGCCACTTCCACACAGGAATTGGATAATTAGTAATCTCATTAAGAAAAATTCTTTATTTTATGCGGATTGTACCCAAGAGAAAAAAATATCACTCATCTCCTCCTCCTTATCCCTTGCCCCCAGAATCAAAACAAAGTGAACAAAAGCAAAACAACCCTCCCAAACAAACAGACAAACAATAAAATTATGTTGCAATAGTCTTTTAACTAAGTTTGCTGGGCAGAGCACGAGGGAGGAAAAATGTTGGTTTTGAGTAGAAGCTGGGTGTTTGGAAGACTAATTTCCACTGACCAGTATCCTAAAAAGAGGGACCAGTATAAGTAGATCATCCCAAATAAATTATTACTATTCCTTTTCAGACTAAAAATAAAGCATTTAAAATATATTGATTATACCTTCATCAGAACAACATAAGTATTCTATTTGGCTTATAGGTTCCAAGAATCTCTTTTTGGGCTTAACTTAGCATAATTTCAAAAAAAAAAAAAAAAGAAATGTGAAATTTTGCACATAAGGATGCTCATAGTGACCACATAAAGTAATAAAAAAAAATAATTCACAGACTGTTAGCCATATATTTCAACTTTTTCTCACAATTTGGAACTGGTGACAATTTTAAAAACCAACAATTTCCTGTTAGGAATAATTTTTTCATTCCTTGTTAAATTTAGATGTGCTTGCATCTTTTGTGGGTTTTAAGAACATTAATTTTCGATTATATGCCATGAGTAAGAAAGTAATCAGGTAAAACTAAAAATGTGTGCACAATGAAAATCTCAATCACATCATGCCACTGACCAAGCCAAACTCTACACTGATTTCAGACTAGAGTGTGGCTTAAAAATCTCTGGTATGATATAGGACTTGCATGATCTGAAAGGCTTTCAGTCACATCAAGGTTTTCAGTTCCCTGACTACTAACACTTTTCTTCATGTGAACTTCTGCCTTGGAATAAGGATTCAGAATTTCATTTAAAATCTATAAATTTTTGTGGCATTTTGACTCTTATTCGTGCCCCACCTGTATCTATATAAGACTACTTTGCTGTTTTTTGAGTGACAAAAAGTTGAAAAGTTATGGCTAGTTTTATTTCTATTTTAATAACCATACCTATGTAATTGTCATTGTCATACATTAAAAAAATATTTATGCTTTCTTTTACATTTTAGTCAAGTACTTTCTTAAACAAAACAATAGCACCACTTTGGCATTGTTGGCCAAATCAGTAACCGGTAAAGCAAATATGCAAATACACTTTTCTGATCTTGTCATATGATCTTGTCACTTGCTTCTTGAATGGAGAGCCAAGAAGACACAGTGCTTGGCCTGAAGTCTTCATTTATCAGATTTAATCATTGGTACTGAGAGAACAAGGAGCTCAGGGACAACTGAGCATGGCTCCTAGTTTTGTGTGGAATTCACTTCTGTAAAGAAAGCTGACCACTAATTCACCCTTCAATCTTACCAAAGGGATCAGCAGGGTAAGCTGCCTTGGGAAAAAAAGGGGGCTATTTTCATGTATCTACCAGGACTGGATGCAACATCTCAAGCTTTGATTTTCTTGTCTCTCTTGGCTGAATGGTGCAAATAAGCTCATACAAGTCCTTCATGGAAATGTTGGTTTATAACTACATTTTCAGCAGAATAAAGAATTTACTGATTTTCCATTTAAAGTCTTAATGACTAATTATGTTTACTATGGAGATGACACTTAAATTTTGCTACCTTGATGGACAGTTGCTAACTGAAGTGGCTTTAGATGTGCAGTGCTTTTTGGACTGACTGAAAATAATGAGGCTTAATTCACTTTTAAATTATGCATTTCAGTGATATTCTGTGTAATGGTTGTCATTTTAGGTCTATTCTAGAAAGCAGAGATCTGTGATCTCTGTCATGTGACGTACACAGTAAGGAAGGATGAGAAATGTGCTTTTGTTTACCATTTCAGTTATTTATGAGATAGCATCTGGTGGGAGCCCTGTTCCTAAATACCTGGAGTGCTTTTAAAAATCCAGCTGAATGTTTCAATTTCTCTAATTAGAAGTTTTTCAAGACAGACTGCTTTGTACTTTTGGGAGGGAGATACTTTGGCTCATGCTCCAACTTCTTTAAGTAGCAGATTTATTGTGATTATGAAGTTAAAGCAGCCCTTTATCTTTCATACTAACTGGTTTACCATGTAATCTACCATGCAATCTGCCATATGACTGGAGATTTCTTATCCAAAGTGCATTCCCCACCCATGCATTTCTCACCTCTGTGAGGCTGGAGCTACTTCCTATTTTGTAATATCATTTATTCTCTAGTAAACCAAAGTGCTGCCTTTGAAGCTTGCAGATATTCAGTATTTATTTTAGTTGCTTTCAATAATTGTTCCAATTTGTTTAGACATTTGTCAAATTCTAATAAATATTTCTGTCTCAGAGTGGCATTTTCTAACTATGGTTTTTCAACAGGAGATTTATGGTGGCATGAATGTGAGTGTGTGAATCCCAAGATAAGACCAAAAATTTGAATTAATTTGCAGGAATTAATGCAAAATGATGTATAGTTATTCAGTTAAAAGCGCATCAATAAAAAAGTTGTCTACAAAGAAACTTGCTGTCACAGATATCTCAAATTGTTTTGTACGCTCACACCTTTCTTCCCTCTTCCCCTTAGGACTTCAGAAGAGACAGGGGACAGAAAGGGTCATGGGGCTTGAAATGGAAATCTGTATTATGTCTGTGACATCAAAATAATGGCTTGTTCTTAGATTATGTTGCAGAATTCTTACAGCCACTAAAATAAAAGCCTTCCCTCTCCATCCCGCCTGCTAAAAAAGGCCTGTAGGAGCTGTGACAGGTATCAGAATTGCTAACTCTGTTTATTGGATTGGTGGTAAATAATTTAGATTAGTTTCTCCATCTGTTTTTCTTTTTCCCTTTTTCAACATAACTATCTCAGTCAGTGAGAGCTGTGACATATTCTTTTTATTCATTTACTGTTCTACTTTTACATTGCTATGGCAGCTTATTGTGCATATAGACATCCATCTCACAGAAAGCAGAGGGTTTCAAGAGTTGTATAGGAATACATTGCACTTGTTAAAAATACAAACCACAAATTTTCTGTGGGAATAGAAAAGGAACTAAAATAATTTGTTAGAATTTTATGACCTTTCCTGCTTGTTTCACAAGGGACTATTGAGGAGCTGATATGCACTCTGGAGAGAACTTTCTCTTATGTTTAAGTCAATAGTTATCCACTCCCTCTTTTGCTTTTAGAGTCCTTCCTTCTCCAGAAGGGATACTGCAGTAGAAAGTAAGGCAGTTTTGAGCAGCCTTCAAAAGGAGGTTCTTTTTTTATAGATCTAATCTGCCACCCCCCTAGCTGCTCCTTTCATACACTGTTTTCCAGGTTCCCTTTGGAGCTGTCCAAGGAATGCTTCATCCCTTGCCTGAGCCTGCCACATAAAGCATGGTGAGGGGAAAAAGTTGAATGGGACTGCATTGGAGTTCTTGGACAGGGTGGAACAGTGCCTTCCTCTTCCCTCCCTCTTCCTTCCCTTCTCTCACAGACAGGTTTGATGATTACCTTGGGACACTGTTGGCTGCTTATCCGCCTTCACTCTTTGGCCAATCTACACTGGGCTGATTTACAAAAATGCAGCAGAGGTGTTATTCAAGGAAGAACCACTGCAGGGCCTATCAAAGTTACATGGCAGGGATTATCAGGGCATCTCTGACTCCCACAAGAGTGGGTGAATGGCACTTGTAAGTGAGGGTGCAAGGATGTTATGGTTAATCTCTCCTTGAGGACTCATTCTGCAGTAGTAATTTGTTGATTAGACTAGCTTTTCTGATTTAGAGAAATGCAGCCCAGCTCACAGTGAGGTAAGCCACATCTGGTTGTGGGAAGAATTAAAATGGAGGGGAGCTTGAGTACCCCTTTATGATTGAACAGAATGTTGATATTTCAGGAACAGTTAGTCCCTGGTGAACTACTCTTTGAAGTCACTTGTTTTTCAAATTGTTTTTCAAATTGTCTTCTCTGGGCCTACACACATGTTTGCGTTCCACACAATCGGATGTCAAAACACCACCCTTCGAGTACCTAAAAGGAAGCAAGTATTTTCTCTTGAAAATGGTAAAGTTATTTTCATGTTAAAATCTGAAGCTGTTTTAGTTGATTTAAGCTGAATATTTTTGAAAGTTGTTATTTAATCTTTGGCTTGGTCTTTCCATATTTGCTTTTACCTATTACCGTTTTGGCCAGACCCTTTCATGTAACAAACTATAAAATAGCACCGTTGTACTATAAAACAGAGATTTTTTTACATACTGTTTGATATATGTGTATTGTTGATATGCTAAATTTTACATACTGCATTATATGGAGGAAGAAAGAAGTTACCTATACTGTTACAAAATAATTATCTGGAGGAATCATTACTGGTTTGAGAGCCTATGTATGCTTTAACTGCTTTTAAAAACCTTTTGTCTCACAAATTGCAAAAAAAAATTTGCATGTTTGCAAGAGAAGGAAGAATAAAACTGTCTTAAAACAAATGCATCTATAACCCATATTTTGTCGAAATGCCACAGATGGAATTAATGGATGTTTAAAATTGTATATGTTACCTGCTGCTGTTACTGGGAATGTCACACTGTGCAAATATGAAGGGGTAGACAAACAATGTTTTCAGACACTGTAAAACAAACAGCCTGTTGCTTGTAAAGAAGTGCAAATAAAAAAACCCACCACTTAGACAAGGCTGATGAATGACTCCAGCAGCCAGTGTTCATAGGTTAATTTAGTGCAATTGGATCCATCAAAGGCCCAAAAATTTGTAGGCTTTTGAGGGGCACAGGACTTTAAGAGTTTTTGTGCAGGACAGATAAAACAGGTTAACAAACAGCAATATATCAACCACAGAATTTTTTAGGTTTGGTTAAAATGTTCTGTTTTCTAAAGACTTAATATTGGAATGTTTAGTTGCATTGTTCACTGGGAGAATGCCCATTGGTTGAAATTGCATCAAGCTTTTTAAAACAAAGGTTTTTTAAGTCTTCCAATGTTTAACAAATAATTTATTTACAGCAAAGTATCCTGCAGATGGCACATTCATTCTTCATTCTTGTGGATGGCATGTTCTTACATTCTGTAGTTTCTGTTTCCTGTGTTCCCTCTACTTGTGTTCTTCAAATGCACTTCCTGAAAGTTTAGAAAGAAAAATTTGTTACAGGTAGGTTTAAATACATTGTATGATCACGAAACTTATAATAGTGAGAAAACAGTTGTCCAGAGTGCTGGAACTGCTAGATAATTGTGTTTTAATCAATAATTCAGTTATCTACAGAGAACTTAACTATGCGGAACTTCTGTACCTGAAATTCCCTGTTCTCCTAGACATAAACATTTTGACTGTTGTCATTCTTGATCTTGGCGGAGGAGACATCTGCTGCTGGAGCCTGGATGGGCTTAGGGATGCAGCAGGTACCAAAGATTTCCTTTCTTTCCCAAAGATATTTCCAAAAGGAGGATGTAGAGGGGCCAGGGAACTTTTGAGTTGTAACTGCAGGATTTATGGAATCTCTTGGGCTTTGGTACCAGGTATTTTCAAAATTGCTCTGCTAACTACATATTGCATAGATGGCACAATAGTTTTCTTGGATAAGACCTTGAGGAGGAAAAAAGTTGTGGGCTTGCTGTACGAGCTGCAGCCATATAATTTGTGTTTTCAAAACAGACAAGGTGATGTGCCAGGCAAATCAAGGGAGCTTTGGAGTGAATTATGCCCTCAGTTCCCTGTCATTCCACACACAGACCAGAATCAGCAGCAGTGATGGGGGTGGTATATGCATTTCAATTTGATTTCCTTGTTTGCCACTCCAGTAAATACTAGCCAGGCCCAAGACTTCATATTCTGTATCAGACCAAAGCCAGAATTTTTAAGTGACTCTCCATATTTTTAATACTCATCAGAAGTCAAACACTTAGTTCAGTGAAATTATGGGTTTTTTCTAAGAAATGCAAAAACCAAAATGTCTGTAAAAGGTGAACCCATGTGTATGCAGCTCTACCACTGCATTAGCTATTATTTAAGCCCTAAAAATGAGTCTCTAAAATTTAAAGTAATAACATTTTCTTGCTTTTCTAATGGACAGAAATAAAATGGAAGCTAATTCAGTGCATTGGTTTTGTGGGGGTTTTTAGTGATTTCCCATAAAAAATACTCTTCTACATATAACCTTTCAATTTCCCTTCAGTATCTATTGAAAACAAAATCAGAAATTAAATTAAAAATAAAACAAATCAGACACTTTCAAAGGATCACAAAACTTGAACTCATAGAGAGCTTATTAATTTTCACTGGATTTGTATTGCCTTCTGATAGATGTGAGAGGAATTCTTACTTTATGTAAAACAAAAATTAGGCAGTACTAGTAATTGTTAACGTAATTATAGCACCACCAAGTATAAAACATTGAGCCAAACTAGGATTTATCAACACTGACAAGCCAAAGTTGTTAACAGCAAAATAGTCATAATGAAGAAATGTTTTTGTAAGGAATATGCCATTATAGACTAGATTAATCATCTAGTCACTATTTCTGTGAACAGTTCAGAAGGATACTGGCTTGTCCTCATCCAGTTTTGCTAATATTGCTGTAGAATAGCATCAATCAAATACAGAATCAGAAATGTCAACAGAATTCTTCTTATCCTTAAATTAGAATATATTTTGCTTTTCATTGCCTGTTTCTCTTCCAACTTTTCCAAAATGACCTTTGCTGCCTTCACTTTTTCCTAAGTTATACATTAGTTTTCACCCTGAAGAGCTCATTTTGGGTGAAGCCTTAAATTTTCACTGATTAAAGTCATCACTGCCAACACTAAGAATCCTGCCTTATTCTACAAGTGCTTATATTGGTTACAATGAGCTAAGAAAACAGGAATTTCTTTACTCATATGCCCAGGTTTTTTTTTTTCTACACAGCAACAAAACAAAATATTCTCCTCAGTGCTGACCCTAGGTGCTCCTCCTTGAAGAGAGTTTACCAGCATATAGAAAAAGCTCTATTCTTCATTTTATTTGCCAAAAGTCATATATTCTTAAAGATTACAAACTCCCCATCCATAAAATACACAGTGAGAGCCTTAAAACGAAACAACAGCCATTTTGCATTGCAGTGACGTTCAAAGTCTATTTATATTGAAATTTAACTGTGTGTTTCTGAAATGAAAATATAAATTCTCTCTGCTACTGTTGTTGTCTGACTTTGAAATGGCTTTTTCATTCAAGTAAAGCAGGTACTAAGATGCAGGAGTGCTTCACTTACAGATTTTAATAATGACATGTAGGTGGAAAAAGAGTTGTCATGATACAACTAGCTTTGAAATTGAAGGAAGATGGCAGGTTGCTTTTAGAACACTTCCTTCTCCAGAATGAGCATTTTGATACATTACTACCAATAAGTGGTAGCATGCATGCCAGAAAATGCTTTTACCCACATAATACATTTTTTTCAAGCATGAAATAGTGAGACCACTGGGGAAAAAAAAAAACCACAGACCCCAAAACCAGGTGTGAATGCTTGAATTAGGTTCTCAGACCTGCTCTTGTACTGGTGTAGAAAAGTTTGGTTTGTTTCTCAAGACTTTGAGAAGAAGGTAATCGGAAATAAAACTGCTCTGAGCTGATATTCAGGCTCAGACAAAGGCAATCATAATTTTGAGATGAGAGATGCAAAATGTGATCAATTTATAAGTTAGCTAAAGAACAGGGAAGCAGATTTCTAGCCCATCACCTTCAGCATGGATCTTTGGAGATAAGGCAGTATTAGCAGTGGGATTACAACTGCTTCAGTAATGGTCATTTGAGTGAGCTGGAAGGATGCTGGGAAGCAAGCAGCAGCATTCTTATCCCATTAGGGCAGACATTCAAACCTCATATTGGCATTGAAATTTCTCTTGCTCTATTGGTAATAAATGGAAAGTCTAATGTTTGTAGTAACAGGCATGATACCTTAGCTATGAATTCTCTGGGGTCTCTGAAAGCTTTCTAGTTCTGTGGGCAGTGTGATCACTCACATAAAAACAGGGCTGCAAAGCAAGCAATGGGAGAAAATAATTCTCTGAAAAAGCCAAGTCCTTCTATCTGTTACACCTAAACGTTCACTCATTGGCTTGGTAATGTGGCGTGGCTTCAACAGAAATTAGGATTGGTGCCGTGGTGCATATTTTGGCCTGTGAATGTATCTGAGTTGATGCTGAGCCAATTACAAAAGAATCTGCCAGTCTTAGAAAAATTAATGAGAAATAATGCAATACTTTTTCTGTTTTCTTAATGGCATTTTCTGAAACTAAAAATACCAATATCTTTTCCCTTTCTCTCTTAGTCCCACTCAGTATTTATTTAAATTTTGAAGATTAGATAAAATATGAAAAGTGTTTTTGAGAAAGCCCACCTCCTATACATACTTTGTTGGTATATATATTTATGTGTATTTTTCACATATGAGGCCTAAAGAAGAAAAAGGACTGTAAATCTGAGGAAGAGCAAAATTATATCTAGATATGCACCTCTTTTGCCATTTTGCTCAGGTTGTGAGGGGATGACATGGCACAATGTTCATGAACAAGTTCAAGTTGTGCCAGGGCTGGTGTAGATAGCATGGCAGGAAAACTTTTTTTCACAGAAAACATTGTCAAGCACTGTAAAGGGCTGCCTAAGGAAGTTTTGGAGTCATTATCCCTGCAGTTATTTAAAATATATGTAGATGTGGCACTTACAGACAGGATTTACTGGTGGACTTGGCAGTGTTTAGTTAATGGCTGGACTCAATGTTCTTAGAGTTCTTTTCTTACCTAAATGATTGTGTGGTTCTTTTTTTACTGGATTTTAAAATCAGCCTCACCAGCCTTCACATTCAGCAGTAATTTTCAAGGTACCTCGTAATCTTGAATTTACAAGACAATTTTGTGACATTGTTTCTGTGACACTGCTTCATTTGAAAAGGTCACAATCTTCCCTCATGTGTACAGTTGTGGAAATTGTTCAGTTGTTTCCTTTGGTAGGGCAGTTGTTTTTCAAAGAGCTACTCAATAGTTTTCCAAATTGCTGTTAAAACTTAATTCACTTAAGGATAATTGACTAAACTTTAAGCATTTTTCAGAAGAGAAAGAAACAAACAAACGAAAAGCTAGAGGGTACCATGACACCAAAGACAGGACTTAAACTCCCCTTCTTGCTCTTGTTTTGTGCTTTAGAACTCTAAATATAGTGTAGGACTTAGGAGAAACCATTACTTTGTTTTCCAGCAGAAATACTGAAACTGTAAATAAGAGAAGATCCCTACTCCACTGATCTGAGATCATCTACCAAATTGTGCCTAGCAGGAACCATCTGCACAAGGAACTGGGGAAATAGACCTCTTACTTAAGCACTAGAAATATTAAAACAAAACCCAAAATCCTGGACTTGTAATTTAAAAACATTGATGAGATGCTGAACAAAGACTGTCCAATGTATGAAATGAATAAGAAGTCTGAGAGGAACTGTACAACCTCTTATATATTGCATCTAGTCCTACCTTACATCTTGCATCTAAAGATGAAAATTTTGAAAAGATTGTATATATATGATAATAGCTATATATATTCACTTTCTGTGAAAAAGATATAGATCTCATATACAGCATATCATATTGAGAGAAACAGTGTTTAACAGAAAAATAATTTGACTTAAGCATATCTATATTATTTTAGTTAAAATCCGTGTCATATCAACACTATGAACTAGCTAACTACATTCATCCTGGGAGAGTGTGTCCAAAAAAAGTTTGAACACAGTTGCCTTACTTAATGGCAGCATGTACAACTGACTGCAAAAAGAAAAGAGAAAAAAATTAAATGAGGACATGTACTGGTTTTTCCTACTGAGTTCCACTTCTCTTCCCTCCACTGTACTTTCCTTTTATCTATCAGAAATCTGAATAATAGTTTCTCTTACCTGTTCTGTATTTTAATTTCCTCGAACTAATTTACTTCATCCACTGATAAAAATGAAAATTTGTTTGTATTTCCCATCAGATTTGTTACTTTATTGCCAAGTTCCTATTGAGAAGAATTTATGATTTCTTATATTATGTTTAACATGTTCCTTTTTGAGTACAGTTTCCTTAAAGATGTTTTCTTTAATATTAATTTATCTCTTATTTAATTTACTCTTCCATTTTCTAAAAATTCCATCCTTTATTTAGGATGCATGTTGATTCATTCAGTTTTGCAATATTTTACATCTTCTTGACCTCTTTTATCTAATTCCCTCACCTTTTTTTTGACCTCTTGAGCTCCTCATTGTCATTTTACTGCTCTTTTCACCTCTTCATTTTTTTCCCTTTTCAATTTCTGGGATGATTTCTTCAGCAGCTATGCTCTCTCAATTACTCAATTACATACTCCCTTTTATTTTTTTTTCTTTCTTCCAGTATCCCTCCTGAGTGCTACCTCCCCTGATGCTGCAGAAACATACAAGATCTTTTCTGTCTGTAAAAGACAATGCTCTCCTGCTTATGTTTTAAACTGGGAAGAGGACAGCTGCCTAAAGATGACATCATTCCTTAGTTCTCCAAGGAAAATGGTGTGGAGATTCATCAAAGAGCTGGCAGGTATCTTGTCTCCTTTACTCCAATGTTTTATCCATCGCCTTAGCAACAAGTATGGGAAGGAGCACACTGATTCCTGGCCAAGCCTGTTTTCTTCTCTCCAGCTTTCCTTAAATTTATGTGTGCCCAGACAGGAATAAACCTAAACCAGGGGTTTCTTGTCTGCAATTGAGCTCCACCTGAAGAAGCCTTCACTTGTTGCCCTGTGTGCCCTTTGAGGTCTCAAGGTGATATTTCCCAGGAAGGATCATTGATTTTTGGAAAACTCTTGAGGAAGGAAGGGGAAAAGATTGCATTCTATGAATTGACTTATGGAAAAGAATGGATGCTGGAATGACTACAATAGTTCTTTTCATAAAGTTGATATTAAGGATTTTAATATACAGCACTGGTTTCCTGACTTCCTATGAAATCTTAGGTTCCAGGTCTTGTAAGCAAAAATTTTCAGATAACTGCAGGAGTAGTGCCAACATGTGTGTAGGACAGACAGGGTCAACAGTAATAAAATAAATCATGGGGGGCTTACAGCAGAAGACAGATAATATGTAAAACAGATGTTCAGACCTCAAACAGCAGAGACAATTGAACATGAGCTTAATTGTAGCCTAGTCTAGGTTTTCTGAGCTATAGTCTCTATTGCTACATACAGTATACATACAGTACCCAGATGTACAGTACATCTGGTATCAGGGGAGCAAAAATCTGGATACTCAGAACTCCACAGCTCTAAAAAAAAATACCAATCAATATTGGAAGTGGCTTGGAGAATATATATATGTATTAAACTTTAAATAGTTAAAATGAAGTATGCAATGATTACAGTGACTATCCATTTAATTTAGTTCTGATAAATTAAAAAAAAAGGGAAAAATAATGAAGAAAAAAATTTGTTCATTTAAGTGTAAAATGAATAGCAGAATGTCTGATTTCCTTCTTGAGCATCCACTCTACCTCTACCTAACAGGGGAGCATGACTGAAGAGATTCTGGATAGATGAGTTATTAAATATTCAGTGTTTAGTTTCTCTTTTGAAAGAGGTCTTAGTTGGTATTTACGATTGGGTGATGTAGGTACTTGTCACTTACTACCCTATGGCAGGATGAGAGCTCACAACTTCTGGATCAGCAATTCTGTGTTTTATTCAGTAAAGGGATGAGATGGAACACACCTCTTCCCACTCTTAAGTAAAGAGATGAGATGGAACACCACTTCCCACTTATTTCCCACCTTGGCAACTGTTTTCCAAAGTTCTACTAAATCTAGTAGGCAGAACACACCAATTGTTTTCTATGTTACCAGCCTTGATAGAATTTTCCTTCCCTAAAACACGTAGGGGTTTTTTTGGTTGGTTCTTGTTTTGTTGCTTTGGTTTGGTTGTTGCTTGGTCGTCGGGAGTTTTTTGCCAGCCTGACCTACCTTTTGTGCTTTGGGCATGTCGGTGTGGCGCTGGGCGCGTACGGACCGCGCGGATTTGGGCGGTTTTATTGGAGCACAATACATCTCCAGCCTCCTCAGGTCACAGCTCTGGAAGCAGCATTCATCCACTATTCCCTTGTGGTGCAAGCGTCTACTGCTGGATCCATACCCTGTGGGCTTGCCTGTTCAAAACACAAAGGGGAAGTTTTTAGGTTAGAAAGGAAGTGCAAAGGTCTCGGGAGCACTCATATTATTGAGGTGTATTATGTTAACTGAATCACCAGTGGCCATTGTAGAGGCTGCCTGTGTCTATCTATTCTAAGGCCCTGTTCTCAGATACACCTTTGGATATTCCTTTCCAGATATTCCTGGAAATGGACAGCTTTGATCTCTATGTGTGGCTGCTATTTAAGCATTTGAGCAAATCTATGCCTCCTTAGAAAAGTATTATTAAAATATTTTATTGAACTGCAGTAGCCTCAAAAATAGAGAGGGAGGATGCTGAAATCTGACATTTGGACAGAAAAATTACCTTTTAGCTTTTGTATGAAAACATTGTTGAGGTAGCTGGTGTGTAAGTACCATAGATCATGACTGTGTTGTAGGCAAGTATTTCCTAATAAAAAAGGCTACACTGAGGTGCTGTGTGCAGTCAGAGTGTATTCCAAAGGGAAATACTGTGTGCCACTGCACATGTTGTAAGGTCTGCCAGCTCAAAAGTGGGAAGCAGGAATCGAACTTACAAAGTAACCGATGAAATAGGAAGGTTGATGGAACAGATAGAAATGGAAGATTTTTACATTCCATAGATGTGCACAAGATAAGAAATGGGACTGATATCACATGGCTTTCCTGTGCTTTGCATTTGCACCAGCCATCTATGGAAAATAATTAATTGGCAAATATTTTTCACTCAGCTCCAGTAAAGGCCAACATTTTCATTCATAAAACTCTTACACGCTTATATTTTTTGTCTTTTTTTCTGCTGTGGTTTATGATTTCCTTAGTAACTGCTGAATTCTCTGTTGTCCTACACAGAGATTATAGACCCATTATTTCCTGGGATTGTTTGTACACAGCCAAGTCGGATATGCAGTTGCCCTGTTATGACTAACTAGAAATGAAGGAACAGTAAATTCACAAAAAGTAAGTAGTTGCTTACTTACTACATCTATTTTAAAATTCTGATAGAATTTGATTTTAGACAGTAAAATTCTGAAAAGATTAAGTGTTTTGTTTTGACATTTTCAGCATTAAATGTTTCCACTTACAGAATGATCCACATTGGTTAAGAAATGAAAAATATGGAAAAAAAGACAAGCATGCCAAGAGCCAAAACATGAAGTAACTCAATTCAGTCAGCTCTACCAATTTCTTTTCTTCCCTTTTTTTTTCTCTTCTCCTTCTCAGTTATATCACTGAGACCAAAAATCTGTTATTCACAGAGTTTGGCAGGAGTTCACATTTTAAGAATTACTCAAGTTAAATAAAAGTTAGGGATATCAAAAAATATGAATATTCAGTTTCTCTTTGGGAACTTATTGCCCCCAATGCTTATACAGCAAAATCTAGGTTGATGTCCCTGTGTTTGTCCTGCAGTTGTCAATTTGAAAAGGCAGCACAACATTTTACTGTTCCCTGCGATTTAAACATGTATCCACTGATGAAGAACCCTTGAGGCCTTATAATATTAACAAATGAAAAGACCTCTAGTGGTACAGTGTGTTTCACATTTTAGCCAGCAATTCAACCAGTTGAACTAACTATCCCTATGAGCTTTGTAAACCCAGGAAACACCGTTTTTAAATGTCTTTTTTACCCCCAGGGACTATAAATTAAACAAAAAGAAAAATATGCTTACTTAGAATATTGCAATCCACTGGAGGCCTCTATATTGTACATTGCCTGCTAAATTATTTGTTTCATAAAACTAAACAGAACAGCATGCCAGGAATAGATTACAGTAATATTTTGGTTTGCATCTGTGTGTGTGTGTGTGTGTTGTTGTATGTGCATCACTGAAAAGTACTACAAATACTAAGATGTGGAGTTTGGTTTGGGTGGTTTTTTTTGTGGTGTTTTGTGTTTTTTTTTTTTTTCCCCTAGATTATTTTCCCTCACTGAATTATACCCACAGCTGTGCCACATTTGATATTGTTCCCATTTAAAGCAGGGAAAGGCAAATTCTGTTCCTGGATATGCAGGTGCCTGATCCAGCTGAACTGTAGGTACAAGAACTGATTAGTTAACCTTCCTTTTCTTTTATCAGTCTGTCCATTTTTCATAAGCAAGTAAACCCTAAAAACTTCTGCTCAAGTTATTTTACCCTTCAATATCCAAATTTAATAAAGTACCTTTACTATCCTATTCCTGCTGCCTGCTTTATTTAGTAATCAGTAGCAACATTTTCCCACACCATCATAAATATGCATAAATAGTTAATACAAATCCTGAATCCTGGAATCTTTCTGGTGAAAATCTTAGAGTACTTCAAAATCATTTTTAGAGTAGCCAGACCAAAGACATCTACATATTTTTCTTACAGAATAATAATTTTATGAATGACTATATAATGTCAAATAGCTCTTCTAAAAGCTTGTATGGGACATGTAACAAGATGGGAATGGAATCTCTATCACACCAGTGCTGATTTCATAATGAAACGTGACATTAACTTTTTTGTAGGCTTAAATATTCATGCATCATATAGCGTAATAAATCCTCATCCTTTATATAAAGACAACATTAGTATTGGGAAGTTGGAATTTTTTATTCCAATAAATGTTTTCCAAGGCTTTCAGAAGTCCAAAGCAATCAAGTATACTTAAAATTTGTGTGATGTAGAAAGTGATATTGCCTGAAGTGCTGTGCAACAGAGAGAGCAAATTAACAGAAAAAATATTCCTTTCCAGTAATCATGATCCACAATCATAATTGAGAAGTATCTGATGACTAAAGTAATTTTAAAGCAATAGATTTTAAATTGCTCCTGACCTCTTAAGTGCTGCAGTATACCAAGATACTATCACACTGAAAGATGAGATAAAGAATTACAAGGAGATACCACCACTTCTACAGATGTTATCACCATTCAGCCCATCTGTTCTGGCAGGACTTGCAGGGTCAAATGGTCCCGGTTCATCAAGTTAACAAAGTATGCACTTAAATCTAGGCAAATGTTCAAGCTCCTACGTGGTGCGTTGGATTAAATCACATATTAGACAGTGAGCTCTCCTGCATAGGGACTGATATATCTAAGCACTTCAGTTGAGCTTTAGACAAGAGTCCATAATGGTAAAAAATGGCAGGTGGTTCTGCATTTTTAATGTAATTTCTACTCCTTATTTTTATTTCAATAGTATTGCCTTCAGTATAGACTGCACCTTCTGTGTTACTGTACTGGAAACCCACATAGTTCTTTCTCATCTTTCTGACATCATTTGAGTGCTGCCTGCCAGCTGTTATCAAAAGTTCCTTCTATTTACTCAAACTTCAAAGTGCTGCCTGTGGACATACAACAGTCCTAGGCATTCCTTTTCGTTGATGTACACTGATTTCCTTGGAGTTTTCTTTCCTTTTTTGTCAATGGCTAGCTCAAAAGAATTTCATATCATGTAGGTCAAAGTTTACTTAATAAATATTTGGCTCTTATTTAGTCTACTTTATCAAATCTGTGGATGTCTCCTTTGGTGCACATCAAGAAGATACAAAGTCCAGTCGCAGTGATGTCTCCTGAAAGCAGTCCAAGGTATCAGATTCCAGTAGCTCAGGTGGCTTCTCCACTAACAGCACTTCCCTTTAAATGATGCAAAGTCAGTGGAGTAATTCAGCAGGACTTGTTTACACTTGGTTTCTTTCTGTTCTTCCTCATCCCTCCGAAATACCCTCCTGTTGCTGCCACTGGATCTGCTCTGCCACTGGTTTCAATGTGAGAAGAACTGGTGTAGGTGGATTACAGAAGTTTCAAATGTCAAGTTATCCAGGCATTCTGTGTAGAACCATAATCTGCTGTTGTAGTATTAAAATCAGAAATTACATGAGAAATAGCCCAGGATAAATGCAATCTAGGACTCTAGGAAAGAACTGGGGTTATATGTTCTGGAACGTTTATGTGACTCTTTGTATTTGCTGTTGTGTCTTTTTAGCCGAGCAGTAGACATGGCATGTAGACTGTAATTCAGAAATACATCATAAATCTGAAAAACAGTGCATTTAATCCTAATCTAGTATTGGAGTCAATCTTCAACTGCAGCTTTTAAAGTATGGTGAAAGGCCATTGACCTATTAGAGTGCTCTAGTCTTGTAGCAAGAAACTCAAAATGTTTCCATCAAAACATTGGGGTCAGGTGCAGTTTGGAAGCATTGACATCAGGAAGCATCAGGAGGTATGGGAGCATCCTGTAAGGCAGCAGGTCAGTCAGGATTTTCCTGTGGCCTAAACAACAGGCTGAGAGTTTGTGTTGCTCTATTACAGCACAGTAATTGAACAAGAACCTCCTGTGTGCTAGATCCAGACTGGAAGCTGGTGGTTGGAGAGGTTTTGAGTTGCATGTGCTGTGTGCCTTATGGTAGCACAAAAGGCTAGAAATGCTGAGCTTGAGATTCATCTTGCTCATCTTTGGTCTCTGAAAATTTGGGATCTAGTTTAAGATAGTGGAATCAGCAGGCAGATGTGTATTGAGAGTGAATTTTTCTTGTATTGAATGCTTTGTTTAAAATTAAATTTATTCTTGTCCTCTGAAGGAAAGAGTGTTCTCTCATCAGCTACAGATAAAGCTAATTGATCTAGTCTCAGCATACATGCACAGCTTCTTCTAGGAAACTGAACTCAAGGAAAATGAATTAAATTAACAATTATTTGTCCTAAATCACAGAATGTATTCACCTGGTGGAGTACAAAGCTGTTCTTTCATTTCCAATTTAACAATTAAATATGACAAATTGTCCTAAAGAACATGCCAGCCAGTGTGCTGTTTAATTATGTATCTCTGTATCTCTTTGACTAAATTCTGTATGTTAGTCTAGTACTGTCTATTTTTGCATTATAAATGCCTTCATATGCAAAATAAGAGACTGTTGATATCACTTTTCATCTCCCTGTAATCTTGGACAAATGGATTAGTGTTATATTGGTAATACTTCTTGAGGGTGCTCTGGAATTTCTCATCTGTATTTGAAAAAT